GGTTTTATTGATCCACATAATCCTGATTTTGTATTTCATCTTAAAAAGGCTCTTTATGGTTTAAAGCAAGCACCTAGAGCATGGTATGAGAAGTTAACTTCTTATTTAATGCACAAGGGCTTCAGAAGAGGAGAAGCAGATAATATATTGTTTATTTTCAGGAAAGGAAAAGATTTTCTTGTTGCTCAAATCTATGTGGATGATATTATTTTTGGTGCTATATGTGATAACCTTGTTCATAATATTTTTAAAGATATTATTAATACTTTTGCAATGAGTATGGTTGGGGAACTCACTTTCTTTCTAGGTCTCTAAGTGAAACAACTTGATAATGGGATTTTCATATCTCAATCAAAATATACAAATGAGCTAGTTAAGAAGTTTGGTATGAAAGATTCAAAGCATATTCAAACTCCTATTAGTACTTCATCCAAATTGGATAGAGACTCTGATCTTAACAAGGTTGATCATTTCTTGTATAGGAGTATGATTGGTAGCTTGTTGTATTTGGCAGTAAATAGGACAGATATTTCATTTAGTGTAGGTGTTTGTTCTAGACATCATTTTCTAAAAGAACTTGTTGAACAAAATGTCGTGTCAGTTTTTTCATTTTAGGAAATCTATTGGTGTTTGTTGTCTTGATTAGATGCATTGTAAGGACATAGTCTAGAAAGGATTTTCATGCATATCTTGAAAGTCTAAATTATGTTTTTGGGAAGTTAAGCAAACCATATTGATTGAGTATGTTGAACACAAGGAGTTTAATGTCACATGAATTATCTGTGGAAAACATACAATGGCTATGAATTGATGAAATTGGTTTTGCTTACTTATTTTGTATAGTAAATAAATCATTGATAGTACATTTAGTTGATATATCATTGTTTTGGTCAAAAATAATGTTGATATGATTGATCATTGTCATGGAATTTAAACTTGCTTTATGTGTTTTAGACCAAAAGAGTGAAAAGAAAAGAAAATTGAAAAATAGCTTGGAATGAAAAGTATTTGCTGCTTTGAAAAAGGTGAGATGGAAAAAGCTACCTTTGGGATTTGTCTGAAAGCTACTTTGACTCGAAACAAATGGGAATAAGGGAAAGAGCTGCCCATAAGTGTGAAAGCTGCCAATGTGCAAAAAGAAAAATGGAGCACAAAGAGAGATTAAAAAAAAAAAAAAAAAAAAAGAGTCTTCATGTTGATTGTTTGATTTCTAAAGATATGTGATATTATTGATTTATTATCTGAAATCTGAACAATTAACAGATCATATGTTTTTAAAACTTGGTGGTGATTTTACTACACTTACTAAGTTTGTGGAACTTCATTAAATTGATCTTGATTATTTTTGTTGATATATATAATCTTGTGAAGTCTATATTCTCATTGGTTTCAATTTACAAGATTTATATGATTGGTTGCTTCCTACTTCTAGGCTATTTCATCATTGAGACCCTTGTTAATTTGTGACAAAAAAGGGGAGAGAGTTGCGATACTTATCATTCAGGAGAAGAGATACTTTTTGCATTAAGGGGGAGAAGCATTAAGTGGGAGAACCATTATTCATTGCATTGATATTCAGGCATTATTAGCATGACTATTTTATGCTTATGTTCATTTCCTTGTTTAAGCTTCACGTGTAGTTGTGTTTGAGCTAATGTATAGATTGTACAGATTACATGTGTTAAAGCTTCATGAGATTCAAGAAATTTCCGCGGTTTTATTTCCTTTGACAATCGTTGTAATTTACTTTCTTGCTTGGGTAGATTGCTGAATTATTGTTAGGGTTTTGTCATGAAATTGCCAAAAGGGGAGATTGTGAGATATATTAACAATTGGCTAATTTCGTTGTCAAAACAAGTCCAATCGAGTTGTAATTTTTCAGTTCTAAAATTCAAAGATTAAAGATCGGATGCAGATTTGAAGAAATTCAAGTGTTCATGGGTTGCTACGTTCCAAGATGATGAGAACAATGCTTTAGGAAAGTATGTGAGTGAGTGAGAACACTTTGAGAGTTTTAGAAGGTTGAAGGAAACAGAAAATACCTTTCTGTCCATTGGAACTGGCAGGAGAATCCTTGAACCGGTAGCAAACCTTGGTCCACAACAGGTTTGGTCAGTGCTAACCTTGAACCGGTACCTTAGTTGGGAATCGGTAGCCAAAGTGCGTCGAAAAAGGTTTCTGACGTTCTTGAACCGGTACCAAGTTTGGGAACCGGTACCAAGAGTCCTGACAGCATTTGAACTTTCAGTTTCCTGTTTTAATTGTTTCATTTTTTATCCCAAGTTCTTTCCAGGTCCTATGTACGAAATTTTTCATATTTTTAGATGGATTAGGACATTTTAAACTCTATATAAACCTCATTAGTCATCTAGGTTTATTTATGACTTTAGGGAACATCAATTACATATTTTGAGAAAGCCTTTTAGAGAGAGAAAATTCAAAAAATCGAATCTAATTATTTTGAATTTATTTATGAGAGCATACACATATATTCATGAGTGATTTAGTGGTGTTGTTTTCTATCTTATCGAAATTGGAGTTATATTGAAGATTTAGAGATTCCGTATAAAGAACAAGATTTAATTCTTCTACATCGAGTTTAGATCTTAAAGAACAAAAGTAAAAGTGATCACACTTTGAAAAGGTTGGAGCATCGAAGAGTGTTGTTTGATCTACCTACTACTTTTCTACAAATATTAAGCATAAGTCTAAAGTCAAGTTGCTATTAGACGAGGAGTCGCAAAGCCAGAGGATTGTCAGCAATTGGTGTTTGGTAGAATGATAGTGTGTGAGCTTGAGTCAAAGTTCGGTGTACTTTATTTCAAACATATATAGTGGATCGGTTTACTTTGGACTGAATAGTCCATGATATTTTTTTCCATGCAACCAGTTGACGTATTTTATCAACTGTGGTTTCCTTGCTAAAAATCCTGATGCAATCTCTCTAAACTTAACTTGCTTTACTTTTAAATATTTATATTTATGATTGTGAATGTTTAATTGATTATACAATTTAATCAATCATAAATTGAGCAATTTGACCTAATAATCAAATATAAGTCATTAAATGAGTTAATCACAATTAAAATCAACTAACAGTTTTCGCACCCACGCGTAACTCTATTTTTCACACACTTAACTAATTCTTTTTGCTTAATCCTGAACTACGTTTCAAAATGATCACTATACCCAATCTTCCTATAAAAAAAAGCTTTTGCATCCCCTTTGTTCGAATCAAATCCATTGCTGCTCTCCTCTCTCCATTTGCATCTGCTCTCTGTTTTCTCTCCAAGGTTGGCTGGTTTAAATATTTAAAAATATTTATATTTCTGTATTTTATTATGGTAAGTTGTATTATAATATATAGAGTAATGATCAATTGCTCACCGGTGAGCAAGAAATTCATCCGCACCATACATGGTAACCATTAAATGTTAAAAAGGTAGTTACCAAAATAAGATAACAATCACATCCAACGATCATCATGCATGGTGAATTTCTTGCTCAACGGTGAGCAAAAGATCATTTATGATAATATATATATATATATATATATATATATATATATATATATATATCATTATTGCAGAACCATATATATGTTCATGTGCATATTGTTACTAATTTTTTTACACCCATTTTTTATAATTTTTTTTTTTCCCTGTAAATCTGTTTTTGTTTTTGTTTTTCCTAGCAATATAGGGAACAATTATTTATTAAGTTAACAAAATTGTTGTAGGAAGATGGTGCCATCTGGCGAACGTAGACCTCTAAATATTTTGTCATTAGTTCTCTACACCTCGTACAAAGATAATAATGAAAACCTGCAAACACTTAATAAAAATGGTATAGCATTGAGTAGGGTCAAACACACATTCAAGATGAGATTTCTGGTGCAACTTGAACTTAAAACATCAATTAAAGGGATGGAAAACAAAATTTTAAAACAATTGTTTGATTCTTGAATAATGAAACTAAAAACAAAAGACAATAAGACTAAGCAACTTTTAATCAAGTGATGAAAAAATCTCAATGAGAATCCACCACCGCAGATCTATATAAACAAATTTCTTTTATTTCTGTCAATTTTCCTCCCATAAGCAAATCACTTCATCACTCTAATTACAATTTTTCTTTTTTCTTCTCATTCCGAAATCAGCCCCTATAACACAGAAAGTATGGATAAGATCGAACATTTATATAATAAAAAAGATTAATTAAATATTTATTTTTTAATATAAAATAGTAAGTTTTATGCACTTATCACCATCTACGACCTCAAGAAACTTAAATAATGTATCACATCGTGGTAGAATGAATGAAGATTTGTATTGCTATTGTGGGGTGAAATTTCCTTTTAAAAGAGTAATGACAATTGATAATCTAGGGCAAAGGTTCTATGGATGTGAAAGTTATCATATTAGGTCTTGTGAGTTCATGAGATGGGTAGATCGTGAGCACAATGAAGCTCAAAGATAACTGAAACCGTGTGGAAAGAGAAGTCTACGAGGACCATGTCATTTTTGAGAGCTCAAGTTGCTATGAGAAATGTGGAAAGGAATTTGAAAGTGGAACCTTTGTCTATTGATAAGAGTATTAACTTTGTGGGTGCACTATCTGTAGGAATTAGCCGGACTATGAAGCATGAAACTAGTTATTTTGTTATTTTCATGTTAGGATTCTATCATGTGCCATTGTAATGATAATTGTGTGGTTATTTAAATGAATGTAATGGTAATGGAATACAAAGAAAGTACTTTTTTCTTAGCTATCACAAGACTCTGAAACTGTTATGAATTGCTAACAGTTACTCAGACACTATAGCATGTTCACACAGACTATATATGTAAACCGTGCAAGAAAAACAAGTAACATGAAATCACACTTTGGCACAGTATATCTGAATGTGCATGAAACAAATTGCAGCAAGAAGCAACACAACTGCACCACCAAGAAAAAAAAAAAAAAGTTGCAATAAAAGAAAATTCAATATACATTAACTAAACATTTATAAGAGACTGAATTTCTTCAACTGTTTGACATCCCCATATGAAAATAGGAGGATATTTGAATAAGTCTTGAACTTGAACCATATCAGAAGCATTACCCACTTCCTGACCTTCATTTGTTCCCCTGACTGACACTAAACTCTCTTTGTAAATAAAGACTGAAAGGCAATAATCCTGTCCACGAGGTCCAAGATCCTTAATTTCTTGAGTTTCAGATTCATACAAAACCAGATTTGAAGTTTTTAGCTCTACAAAGAGCTCATTATACTTCCAGAAACCAAGTGGCCTAGTGACATCTGAAATGGGTCCGATAGTAAACTCTTTGGTCCAACACTCCTCATCCTTCTTTACCCAAATGTCAAAATGTTTCTCAAATGCATCTTCTTCATAAAGTAACAAAGCAATAGAATCAAGGTACATGGCAAGATAACCACATTGTGATTCGGGAATATCTGGCGGTGCTTTTATATTACGAAAAATCTCATTACTCATATCAAATGTAAGGATTTTATATATTTTGCCCTTGTTAGTGGTCAACCAATGATAAATTCCATTCATGTATGTGTTACACAAAGACTCATGTAGGAAGTCACATTGAGAAAAATCTAATTCAAAGAGTCTCCAAATATCAGTGCATAGATTATACACTGAAACAATAATAGGGTCGTAAGGATTGTCATATTCCTCATTTTTAAAGTACCGAATCCAAACAACCTTGTAGTAGTTGGTTACAGGATCCAATCCAAACCCAAAGAAATCACAATAGGCGCTGTAATCAGTTGGAAGATTGGGTTTAGGGACCTGGAGTGGCTTGAATTCTCTTGTAGCAGGATTCCATAGAGCTAGGCGATCTGTTACCCAAAGACCAAGTATGCCATTAAAGGGACCAAAAACACCAGGATATCCTGGCATCTGAAGATCATTCATATCGTTATAAATAAATGGTTTGCTTGCAAGAGTTTCATCAGGGAATAGGGCGAAAGCATATTTATCTGTGGTGTTGTTATAGTGAAGAACAAGGAGTCGTGCTCTATGGTTGTGGTGTTGGTGGTGCTTTGCATGAAAATATGAGTTTTGAATGAGACAATACCACTTTTTGCAAACACACTTGTACCGTATGAGTGATTTCACTGGCAGCATTGAGAGAATCTCAATTGTCACTTCATCTGATAAATGATGATCGCCGTATTCGGTCACCATTGCCTATTATTCTCTCTTCATATGAGTTCTAAATCAATCTTTTCTGTGACACAATATAAATATTTGTCATATAAAAATCATAATTCCCATGAGAAAATTGAACTGATTATTCTGCATGGTGAAAAATTTATTTAGGAGACATCCTCTGGTTACAGTTCAACTATGCAAGGAAATATCTTCCTTTCCTACTTAATCCAACACACTTTTAATTAGAGGCAATGCATAATTTTGGCTTAACTTTTTCTTGTATTAGCTTCTAACCTATAACTACAACATGCAACCTTATGTTTGAGTCATGAAAACGTGAAGTATATGTACAATCAGAGCATACATATTTGTAGAATATTGGAGTAAATGACCGGTACAAGGGAATTGGATTCACCATATAAGTTTCAGAAAATTTGCACTAATTTTATTTAGATCCACGTGGAATGCATCTTTGAATCATACATTTTGCTTATTAATAAATTGAGGTCGTGTTTGATGAAAACTAATAGGAAAAAATCATAGCCAGTGCACAACCTTTTATTTTTATTTTCTTTCCAGTTTCCAGATGCGAATCAGTTATGAAAGATAAGTCAATTAAGTTTCCTGAACTGTACCCCCAAAATCGTTCAGTAGAGCCCAGGATAAATAGATATTAATCACATTCCTAAACAAATATCCCGTGAGTTTGCATACAATCTACCAAACAACAACAACAAAAAAATTAAATAAATCCTTAACGCGTTTAGAAAAGCAAAAAGAAAAAGAAATATGAGACACAACATTTGATATTTCTTGTTCAACAATACTTTCCTCCACTGATGTGTCACAATCACAAGATGACATGTGTCATTTTTTTAATTTAAAAAATTTAAAGAAAAAAAGTAAAAAATTTCCTAACTTTTTTTTTTTTTTTTTTTTTTCTTTGTATTATTTAAAACTCAAAATGGGCAATGTGTCATTTTATCAGTGTTAGTTTGCCGCATGTAGGAGATTCTTCCTAACGGGTGAAGGGGCAAGTATTTTTTTTTTTTTTTTGGGGATTGCGTTTCTATTTTCGAAAAGACAATGCTATGGTCTTGCCTTAGGTGGACAAACTTTGTCCACTAAGCTGACGTGGTCCAATTAAATTCAGACACGTGTTTAAATTTTCAAAAATTAAAAGATGGGTATCACACATTTTCCTACGAGTTAATGCGAAGACATCTAGGTCCAAGACTAAGCCCTATTACAATCTTGTCATAACCGACCTCCGAGACTCGGGCAACATCCTGAATGCGCTCTTCAACTCCTCCATGAACACCTGTCTTAGCCTCTTTTCGATGCTCGACACTGCGGCAATGGCAGAGTTATCTTTCTTCGGCTGAGGCTGCTTCCTCCTCCTCATTTTTCCCTCCAGTGTTGAAATTACCACAAAGTGTCCGGAAGAGTCAGTGAATTTCAAGGGCAAGTGTGACTAGGCCAATAGACACGCCGTTACCTCTTACCATATAACAATTTGATAGTATCATATTTGTTTGTGTTCTTTACCTTGATACCATCAAATTGCTATATATATATATATATAGAGAGAGAGAGAGAGAGAGAAATTAGTGAGGAGAGAGAGTGATGCATCAGTTAGTTCAATGATTTCGTTTTCAACCCAAATGAGCGTTTTTGGGTGGAAATGAACCATCGAGCAAAACCACTAGATTTAAGTAGTAGGTCAATCATGTCATTTTTCGGCTGAAAACTTTCATATAGGGCTCCAAAATTACATTTTCTTGTCTTACAAGAGGCTTATTGATTATTTCATTATATTTGTTCGATGCCTAAACAAAAATTTGGATTTATCTAAAATTTTAAATTTAGTGGTTCTTATTTATTAGGTTTCTTATTCTATTTTATTTGGAATTTTTAGAGAAATATTTATTTTAGGCATAATTTTATTCTTAGTGTTAGTTTCCTTTAGCTATTAATTAAGTTTTGTTATGCTATTAGTTTCCTTTACAGTTTTAGGGATTTCTTTATGATACACGTATTGCTTAATTTGCAAATTGTTTATTCAATTATCAATCCAATCATATTTCTCTATAAAATTTCTTCGACTTTGTGGATTCAAAGTTACAACTTTGTGATTTCAAGGTTACTCCTTGTTCCTTTGTGAACGTTTCATCGCTTCCACTTTGTCACTAGGTATGAGAGCCTTGCCTTACACTAGTCTGATGGTGATTGATCATTTTGGTAGCCACCGCTCTAGTGACGATGACCGTAGAGTGAAGGCCTCTTGGATTTGTAGCAACATGTTTTGAGATTGATGGCAACAAGTTCTTGGTTGAGTTTAGGATCGCGTTGATGATGTGTCTCACAATCGGTATGTTTCCGTATATCCTCGTATGCCTCTAGCCTATGCGGATTATTTTGTTGATCATCTAAATGATGAAGAGTTTGGATTTAATGATTGAGGTAGCAAAAAAATCATAAATATCCAGACAATCGTGAATTTCAGGTAAAACTAGATCTACTAACTTTCTATGAAAGTATTGTTATTGAAAATGTTTTGGACTAGCTTGAAGAAGTTAAAGATTTTTTGGAGTATTCTGATATACTCAAGAACAAAAAAAAGTTTAGCTTGTTGCCTATAGATTTAAAGGATGTATTTCAGCTTGGTGGGAACAAACATAGATTAATTGGAGGAGGCAAGGAAATTAACCTGTGCGGTCATGGTAAAAGATGAAAAGATTGTTAATGGCTAAATTTCTACCACAAATTATGAGGAAATTATGTGTCAAGAGTATCTGAATTGTAGGAAAGAGTGTCCATCTGTCAACAAACCTAAGCAGTAATTTTCCAATAAAGCCAGTGATATAAAGAATCATAATAATTTTGTAGAAGTAACTAGTGATTCTCAAAAGGTTTATTGTGAGAAAGATCCTATTGCTTTATCTATTGTAGTTGAAAATGAAATTAAGGGTGTGAAAATATCAATTCTGTTGCGCAAGTGGGCAGAAACATAAAGGGAATTCAATACGGCAACAGAAGAATATGGTAACAAGAATTTCGATGCTAAAAGTGAGCAACATGAATCAATTGATGGTGGGGAAAATGAAATTTCCAAATTGTGTGTCCAATAAGGAATGGAAAAATTCAGGCATCAAATTGATGAATAATTATTATGTTAGTATATTGTATGTGAAGAAACTTTTGTTTTGAAAAGTGCCAATGAAGATATTTTGTTGTCACTTTTTGGAAGGTCTCATTGCAATGACGAGAGGATTGTTGTGGCAAACAAGACTTCACGTTATCCCTTGTTCTTTGCGAACGTTTCATAGCTTCTGCTTTTTCAAAGAGAAGAAAAAGAAAGGATATCGGTTGTTTTAGCAAAAGTACTTGAAACAAAACAGGATAGATATCCCTTCTATCGTTTGAAAATTTGGGTTTATTTCACAAAACCTTTTCAGCAATTGATGTTTTAAAATGAACCCTCTGGACTAAAATTTTCAAATGTCTCTTCTTCTTTCGCTAAGTATTCAAATGTATCTTTCTCTTCTGCTTATTTCAAAATTTCCAAATGACAAAATTTATAAAGGGTTTTGGATGGGAATTGGGTGTGGAGATGTGCTTTGTAAAATTTTGGTGTAACTCGTCTGAAGATGGCTGATGTCCATCTTCAAGTTTTTTTAAGTGTGTAAATTTTGGTTAAAATTATAAAACCCCCATCTACTTTTAAAATTGTTCATAAAACCCCCAACAAAATTAAATAGGTCCCTAGACTAACAAAACCCATCATTTTACCCCAATATCCATAACGGACCCAATAACTGGACTTAAAATGACAAATTTGTCCTTACTATTTGATATTAAATTAAAAGTTAAAAAATATTTTTTAATGACAATTTTACTCTTTTATTATTCTAAGACACTATGTTATTATGTCCAAACCATCTTCTTCTCTTCTGATTTCAAGCAAAACCTATAATATATATATATATATATATATATATATATATATATGTTTATTTCTTAATTGCAATTTTTGGCAATCTAAGATCACGTCTATTTCTTCCTTAATTCTTGGTAATCTGAGATGTTTCCAATATGATATCACGTATATTTCGTCCTTTGATTTCATTTTTTTGCAATATGATATATTTTTTTCTTTGATTTCAATTTTTGGAAATCTGATATCTCAATCACGTGTGTGTGTGTGTGTGTGTGTATATATAAAATAAGAATTTTCTCTCTCCCATTGATTTTACCCATTGATTATCCTCAATTTTTCCTCAATATATATATATATATATATATATATATATATATATATGCTTAATCGATGCTCACGGCGGTTAGGGGCTTGGGTTCTTTGCGTTGATTGACGACACTATCTTTCATCAATGTCGACGTCTTAGGTTCTCTGTTGATTAGAGCTTGTTCTAGGTCATTGTCCTCAACTGCTTCGTCGATGTCGGCGGCAGCTAGGGGTTTGGGTTCTTTACTATCGATTGATGCCGGTGGCGGTGATGTAGAATTGATTGCTAAATCCTTTATGATCCGTTTGGACTGCTAGGGCCAAACGGACATGCTGACAAATTTTCTGAGCTGATTCCAAAGTGTGCATTTTTGACCATATAGGGGAGTTTTTGGACTAAAAATGACCCAACGAACAAAACCCACCGCTATGCTATGACATAATGTGCTTTTCGGCGAAATACCATCGTTTAGGGTCACAAAATGGGATTTTTCGGTCCAAAAGAAGCATGTCAAATATTTCAGAATTTTTGTTCATTATCTAAACGAACTCAGATTGCATTCATATTTTATATTTAATAGTTTTATTTTATTATTTTTTTTCTATTTTTTTAGAATTTTTAGAGAAACTTTATTTTTAAGCTTATTTTCTGGTCTTAGTATCCTTTCGGGATTAAGTTTCCTTATGTTATAAGGATTCAAGTTGCAGTTAGTTTCCTTATAGATTAGAGTTTTCTTTCATTATAAATATGTGTAATACAAAGATCAGAATTATTCGTTCAATTATA